CTGGACTTCTGTGACCTCTAGTGGCAACACAGGCCTTTGACTTTAATACAGACCCCAGCCATGGTAGAACCATGGACCCAGTCATGATCCTCAGCAGCAGCTGGGTCTGGATGTCACCCCAGGTGGCAGTGAAGACCACTCAGATCAGCACAGACCCAGCAGCAACATGGCCCTCGGACACTAACATGACCCCAGACTTTGGGTGTCCACATGACCTTTAATGGTAATAGAAGCCTTGGACATCAACACAGACCCTGGCTGCAGTAAGGCCATGGGCCTAGACATGACCCTCAACTGCAGCTCTGGCCCTGATGTCATCATGGCATCAAGTGCAGGCAACTCAAATGTATGGCCCCAGCTTCAGCCTGGCCCTTGGACACAAATGTGGACGCAGATGGCTGACCGGACACTGGGAATCCACATGGCCCTCAGTGGCAGCAGGAGCCATGGATGTTAACCCATGTCTGGTTCTGTAGTCCTCCCATAGCCAGGGTCTGTGTGGACATACAGGACCCATGTTGCCACCAAAGACACAAAGATGTCCAGTGTCTGAGATGTGACTTATGGCCATTTTGGTGTCCAAGGGCTGCTACTGCCAAAGTCACACTGATCTGGGTGGCCTGTACTGTCACCTGGGGCCATGGTGTCATCCAGGTCTAAGCTGCTGCCAAGAGTCATGTCTGGGTGTGTAGTCCTACAGCAGCCAGGGTTTGTGTTAATGTCCATGGCCCATGGTGTCTGGGCCGTAACATGTGGCCTTGTTGGTGTGCTGGTGTGCAAGGGCCATGCCATTGCCAGAGCCATGCTGGTCTGGGTGGCAGTTTTGGCTGCTATTGGAAACAATGACTGGGTCTGTGGTCCTACAGCAGCCTGGGTCTAAGTCAATATCTGTGGCTCCTGTTGCCACTGAAGGCTTAACATTTGTTTCTGATTAGCCACCTGGGATTGTGTTGATTCCCAAGGACCATGCTGCAGCCTGGGCCACACAAATCTGAGTGGCACATGCTACTACCTCATTCCATGGTGATGTCTGTGCCAGAGCTTAAGCTGGGGGACATGTCTAGGTTCATTGCCCTACTGCAATCAGGGTCTGTATTGATGTCTGTGGCTCCTTTTGACATTGAGGGCACATGCTGATTCCCAGGGTCTGGATTACCACCTGGGGCTGTGTTGATGTCCTCGGGTGTTACTGTGTCTGTGATGATCTGGGTAGCCTTCATTGCCACCTGGGACCATAGTGACATCCAGACATGGGCTGCTGCCAAGGACCATGTCTGGGTCAATGGTCCAACTACAGCTGAGGTCTGTGTTGAATTCCATGGCCCATATTACAAACGTGGTCTGGGCTGAAATCTGGGTGCCCTTTTTGGAGTCTGGGGGCCATACTGCAACCAAGGTCATACATATTTGGGGTTGCCTGTGCTATCACCCAGGATCATGGTATCATCTGGACCTAGCTGCAGCCAAGGGCCATGTCTGGGTCCATGATCCTATAGAGACCAGGGTCTGGGTTGACATCCATCAACAGCTTTTGAGTTTCTTTCCAACTATACATTCACAATCATTTGTTATTTTAAGGGCTCCTTTCTATAACACAATTCTAACTGGGTGATAAGATATCTCATTGGAGCTTTGATTGCCAGTGAAATTATAGATAATGATATTTAGCATTTTTCCTCACTTATATGTACATTTATTAAGTGTTTTTTATTTTACCTAGTTTTGTTTGGTGAACTTTATAACTTTTTTTCAATTTCATGTTTTCTTGACATAGGAGCTTCTTTTGTAACATATGTAAACCCCTGACAGTGATGAACTGACCACCATTTTCTCTAATTCTAGAGTCTGTCTATAAGTTGTATTGATTACCGTCTTTGTTATACAGAAGTATTTTAATGTGCTAAACCCCATTGGTCAAGTTTGCTTTTGTGTCTTTTACTTCAGGATCCCATCCACACATTCAGTGTTCAAACCCAGTGAAATGTTTCCCTAATGTTTTCCCTTGTAAATTCAGTGTTGTTTTAGTCTTATGTTTATGTCTTTAGTCCACTGTAAGTTGGTTTTTGCCCAGAATGAGAGACAGGAATCAAATTTTAATCATCTCCACATGGATATCAATTTTTTTGTAGCTTTGTTGAAGATGCTGTCCTTTCTCCAATGTATGTTTTCAAAACTCTATCCAGATCAATTAACCATAGATGCATAGATCTCTTTATTAAGTATCTCTTCTATTACATTAGTATGTATATCAGTTTTTATTCAGCTGTCATACAGTTCTAGTTTCTTGAGTTAAGGTATTATGATAGCTCCAAATATTTTCTTTATGATCATGTTCTTTTGTCTACTCATTTTAATGTACCTCTATACAAATTTATGACTATGCAATGCAGTACATTATAAGTATATAATGTTTAAACTGGAGTTACTTTCCTGGGAGGCAGTCAAGTTGGTTACACTGAATTGCCTTTAAAATTTCCAACTGAAATATGTTTTTAAGAGAAATTTTTATATTCACTATGGTGATATTTTACTTGTAATGAAATGTGATTTTAATTGTATGTTAATAAATAAAGTTGCCCGGGGGTCAGAGCTATTAGAGCCATAGCAAAGGCTGGGCAGTGGTGGCACACGCCTTTAATCCCAGCACTTGGTAGACAGAGCTAGGTAGATCTCTGTGTGTTCAAAAATACAGCCAGCATTGGAGACACATGGTTTTAATCTCAATACCATAGAAGATCTGGAAGTCTCTACAGACAGGCAGCGATGAGGCAGTCATGTGTTTGGGTTTACAACCAATGAGAAGTCAGAAAAGAAAGACTATATAAAGACAAACACACAGGAAGTAGGTCTCTTTCGGAGAGGTCTTTTGGCTGAAGAGGCTAGCTGCAGCAGGCAGTAAGTAAGGCTCTTAGCTCTGATCTCTTGGCTTTCTTCTTTGCATTGGCTCTGTGTTTCTTATTTAATAAGACGGTTGGTTACATCTACAATTCATATTTGATTTTTCTCTATACTTGATTTGTGTATCTACTATTTTAATGGTATTTATATTTTCATAAGATTTCATGTTGATTTTATTTAATTTCTGATCACTGCTTTCACTAAGACAATTTTGTTAGGCTGCTAAGTTACAGAGATGCATTGCTTCAGTTTTTATGGCTAATCTTTGAAGGGTTTTTGTTTTATATTTTAAGCCATGATTTTGCTGCTATTGACATTTTCAGACATATTTAAATTTACTTCTGTCTTAATTAGGGTTTCTATTGCTGTGAAAAGATACCATGATGATGGCAATTCTCATTAGGAAAACATTTAATTGGGGTGACTCACTTACAGTTTCAGAGGTTTAGTCCATAATCATTATGGCAGGGAACACGGTGGCACACAGGCAGACATGGTGCTGGCTGCATCTTGACCAGAAGACAACAGCAAGAGTACTGAGGCACTGAGCATAGCTTGGGCACATCTGAGACCTCCAAGATCAACCCCACAGTGATACACTTCCTCCAACAAGACCATACCTACCTCAACAAAGTCAACCCTCCTAATAGTGCCCCTTCCTATGAGTTTATGGGGGCCAATTACATCCAAACTACCACAACCTGTACTCTTGTTTATTTCCAAGTTTGTGTTGAAATTTTTACAAATTGAATCTGGTTAAAATTTTTCAACATAATCTCCACTGTCTTCTTGAATTCCTTTACTGTTTTATTCTGTTCCTTAGAAATGAGTAATTTTTTCCTTTTTTGCCTTTCATATTAGGTTCTATCCTAGGTCTCTGGGTTATCCCAGCCCTGAGTCCTGGCCCTCAGTTGGGAACTCCCTCTCAGGTATGAGTCTCCAGCTGAACCAGTTATGAGTTGGCCACTCCCACAAATTCTACACCGAATTTACCCCAGCACATCTTGTAAGCAGGACAAATTTTAGGTCAATGGATTCTGTGGCTGGGTTGGGGTTCCAGTCCTTCCACTGGAAATCTTGCCTGGTAACAGGAGAAAGCTTGTTCAGACTTCACATCCCTCATTGCTAGAAGTCTTGGCAAAAATCACCCTCATCAATTCCTGTGAGTTTCCACTGCTCTGGGTATCTAGCTCATCCCAGATGCCTCCAGATTTCAGTTGTGTCTTCCTGTACACTCTAATGATATCCTGCTATACTCACAGGTTGGTGCCTAGCCTGTCATCAGAGAGGCTTCACCCAGAAACTGATGGAAACAGATGCAGAGACCCACGGCCAAACCTTAGGTAGAGCTGGGGGAATCCTGTGGAAGAAGGAGAGGAAGGACTGACTGTAGGTCCCAGTGCTGTCAAAGGCACCACAAGAACACCCACAGAACCAACTAACCTGGGCTCATAGTGACTTACAGAGACTAAGACTGACAATGAGAGCCTGTATGGTTTGACCTGGACCCTCTGCATATATATTATGCCATTTGATCTTTGTGTAAGACTCCTAAGAGTGAGAGAAGGGGCTGTCTCCAACACTGATGCCTCTTTTCGGGACCCAGTCCTCCTACCAGATTGCCCCATCTAGCTTTAATATACCATAGCTGGCTGATATCTTTGGGGGTGGGTGCGGTCTATATCTGAAGAAAAACAGTGGAGGAGGAATAGATGGGGTTGGGAGCAGAAACTGGGAAGAGGGCAGGGAGGAGAAACTTTGGTTGGGATATAAAAACGATAGATAGATAGATAGATAGATAGATAGATAGATAGATAGATAGATAGATAGATAGATAGATAGATAGATAGATGGAAAAGTTAAATGAATAAATTAATTAAAAATTAAAAAAGAAATTTAATCTCTCACTTTCTTTTCTGAATACTACAGTTTGATTGTCTAGGAGACTGGCACAGAGAAATTGGATGCTTTTTATTGCTTAATAAATGTAAAATGATTAACTTAGAGTATTAATGTGAAAACACCAATAGAATATTGTTTATTTTGTTCCTCCTTCTGTGACCTTTGATATTTACCAAACTAGCTGCCAGTAATGTAGTCACGAATAGTACTGTTAATGACAGGATTTCTAGAAGCACCACCACTGCTGGAGAGCTTTAGGTTTTAGAAGATGGGGTGGTCTAGCATGTTGCTCTTAGGCAATGTCCTTCTAACCTTATGGCTTTCTATTGTCAAAGAAGGTAAGTAGAAACAGGTTTGAAACAGGTACTTCCTAATCAAATTTATCTGCTGTGTGTGTATGTGAATATTTTTAATCAATTTTAAATTTTATTATAAAATATTGGACACAGAAAAGAAACTATAAAAATTTTAAGTAAAAAATTAGAAAAAATTTTTGAGTGATAAAAACTGATTGATTTATGGAGTTTCTGATAAGCAATTAAAAAGAAAAATTTTAATAAAATGGGCTTTTCTCTATCTTCTAAACCCATTTTATGTGTGAATGGCTTCTAAATATAATTTGGAGACACAAATAGAAATTCTCTTTTGAAGTGTGTGAATAATAAATGTAACAAGATGAATCTTTAAGATGGTATTCAACTTAAAGCCACTGACCAGGACAAAACTCACAACAGACTCTAAATATCTCTGAGTATGTGTGGGATTTATTTTATATTTACAGATCAGACAAGTTTTAATGTCACAGTCATTAAAATGAGTAACTTTCCCCATTGAAACCAAATTATCATTTATCAAATGAAAATGCCTTTTAGTAAGCCAGTGAAGAATATTGCTATTTTGAATGTAAGGCACCAAAATGCCAACAATTTGCTCTTTTCTGTTCTCTCCAATGAACTTAGAAAGTAGGAGATTATGTCACCTCTGTATTAACACTGTGTGCTTTACCGGGATTTTACAGCTGTCCCTCAGGGTTTCAGGATGCCATCACATCCAAGGAATCTCAAACAATGCCTTAAACAAGGTGTGGGATTCTGGAATTAAACTATTCTTTACTCTGGTTTTTATATTTTACTCTGGTATTCTATATTTTGCTATTTGTTGTTTGCTATTGTTTACATGTAATTACGGATTATTTATGTAACTCCTCAGTTCCCATTTAAGTGAAAAGGGTAGAATCAAGATAATTACAAACTTTTTAGAGATTCACCTTTTCACATTTTGTAACAAAATTTGTACCATTATTTTAGAGATTTTAAACTCATTTTATTACAGTATGATAAATCACTTTGATTGCAGTCACATGAAAGCAGTCACCTAATGAGAAAAAAAAAATCCATCCTGTCAAAGAACAGAAAGCAAATGCTTTAAATTTTTTGTACTCTGAAAATTTTTGAGATTATGATATAATTACATTTCTCCCTTATTTATTAATTCCAAACTGTTCCATATACCCCTCCTTTTTCTCTGACTCATGGCCTCTTCTTTCACTAATTTTTTATTGCATTCATGTGTGTGTATATGTGTGTGTGTGTGTGTGTGTGTGTGTGTGTGTGTGTGTGTGTGTAGATGGGGGAATATATACATATGTGTATATATATGGGAGGATATATGTGTATATGTGTATAAGTATATACATAAATATATCCCTAAACACACCCTGCTCAGTCTGTATAATGGTATTTGTAAATGCAGTTCGTTGTCTGGTATTCTGTATATTCTGGAGAATGACCTACATATTTATAATATTCCTTTTAAATAAGTGAATTTACTAAGTGTACAGCAACAAAAGTTAAAGAATATGTAGCAAGTAAGAGGTAGATAAATAGATTACAAACAGACAGTAAAACATGATTTCAGGCCCTCAAGATATCAAGCATTGGTCCACTACGGTGGCTAATTTATGGCAGGCATCTGGATTTCCACTTTGAGAGTCCTCTTGGATGAGGCTTCTAAGAAATAGAACAAATAGCAACAGAGATCACATGAACAAGTCAGGTGCTCTTAATATCTAACAGGAACTCACTGGAAGAGTTGAAACCATAAACTGGAGTTTCCGATTAATACCCCCTTCCCCTGCATAGGTGAACTTGCCAAGCCTCGTCTTTCACTGTTTTCTATGCTCTTCCTGGCAATCTAGATGGGAAACTCCAGCTGGCTAGCCTCACACATCCTTCTTCAGTCTATGCTGGATATATGCAAGACAACTTGATGATGTTACTTTTCCATTAGTTTTGTGCTTTACTTGGAAGCCTCAGGTCATGGGACACTGCTGTGCCCTTTGGAACCCCAGCTGTCTACAATACTAAAACAGGTTGTAGTCTTGAGTTTATGCTCTGGAAACAATTTGACAAAGTTTGGCTATCAGTTTTGCTGTCTGTTGGCCTATCTACTTTTCTATTTGTCTTTCATTCTATCATCTATCTAGTCTATCTATCTATCTGTCTGTCTGTCTGTCTGTCTATCTATCTATCTGTCTATGTCATCATCTTCATCTATATCTTTCAATTGATTCTTTTACCCCTTTTATTGAAATAGATTTGTTTCTTATACAATATATCTTAATTACAGTTTCCTCTACCTCCCAGTTCGTGCCCACCTTCCCTCTCATCCAGATCTATATTCCCTTTCTGTCTCTCATTAGAAAAGAATAGGCTTCTAAAAGATAACAACAAAACATAACCAAATAAAATATAATAAGGTAAAATAAACATAATCATGTTAAAATTGGATAAGAAAAACCAACATAAGAAAAGAGTCCAAGAGAATTAGAAAACCACTCATTCACATATATAGGCACTACATTAAAAACACTAAACGGAAAGCTTTAATGTATATTCAGAGAACTGGATGTAGACCTATGCAGGCCCTGTGCTTGTTGCTTCAGTCTCTGTGAGTTCATATGAACTTTTTTCTCAGTTGATTCAGAGGGTCTTGTTTTCCTGGTGTCCTCCATCTGCTCTTTCCCTTACACCCTTTCCACCTCTTCTTCCACTGAGTTCCCTGATCTCTGAGGGGAGGTATTTGATGGAAACATCTCATTTAGAGCTAAGCATCCGAATGTCTGTCTGTCTGTCTGTCTCTCTCTGTCTCTCTCTGTCTCTCTCTGTCTCTCTCTGTCTCCCTCTGTCTCTCTGTCTCTCTGTCTCTGTCTCTCTGTCTCTGTCTCTGTCTGTCTCTCTCTCTCTCTCAGTAATGTCTGGCTGTGGGTCTCTGTAATTGATAAGATGGAGGTGTCTCTGATGAATGCTGAATGAAGGGCTCCTCTACAAGTATAGAAGAATATTATTAGGAGCCATTTTTATCACTATTTCCTTTTTTAAAAGACCAGTTTTCAGTTTTACTCTAGGTCTTTGGGCTATCTAGTGTCTGGTTCTTAGTCACCCAAGTAGTGTTGGGTATGGGTTTAACCTCATGGAAGGGTCATAAGTCAAATCAGACATTACTCAGTTACTCCTACAAGCTTTGTGCCTCCATTGCCTTAGCATATTTTGCAGTCAGGGCAGCATTGTAGACCAAAGGGCTTGTGGCTGAGTTGTTGTATACATTTCTCTTTTGGTAGTCTGCAGAGTACCTGCCTTTACCAAAGACACTAGAAATAGGGAAAAAAGTTTTATGTAGGCACCAGCTTGACCACTCCATGTTCAATGAGTTGTGTGAGTGTTGTCTTCAACAATAGGGCCTTGTTGTCAGCTTGTAGAGAGCATCTTACTTCCTTGGCAACAGTCTGGATTATCTGGTGCATTCCAATGTGAGCCATTTAGCCAATAACTTTGGATGTAACCCAGTCCTTGTACTGGAATCTTCTCTTAGCTACAAAAAATGACAAATTGGGATTTTTCCCCCTCTTATTTGGATAGCCGTCATATGTTTGAGAAAGTTTCCACTGCACTGGGCTTCTATTCTGCTCCTATAATGCCTCTCAAGTCTAGCTGTGCCTCCCCACATTCCATTCTTTCTACCTGATTCTCCTACTCCAGTTCTAGCCATTCACAGTTCACCCACAAAATTTATTCAATTTTCCAACCCCAGAAAGTCCTATATGTCCCCTTCCCCAGTCCTTTCCTCTATACATATTCTCTCTGGTTCTATAGATGGTAGCTTGGTTACCATTTATTTAATGGATAATGCCCACATATAAGTAAATACATACTATATTTAACTTTCCGGGTCTGGATTACCCTACTCAGAATGACTTTTTCTAGTTGCATTCATTTACCTGCAATTTTCGCATTTCCATTGTGGCTAATGATGTTAAACATTTCTTTATGTGTTTCTTAGCCATATGAGATTTACTCTACTGAGAATTATCTGTTTAGATCTATACCTTAATCTATTGGATTATTTGGCTTTTTTTTTTTTTTTTTTTTTTGTTTTTTGAGACAGGGTTTCTCTGTGTAGCTTTGCGCCTTTCCTGGAGCTCACTTGGTAGCCCAGGCTGGCCTCGAACTCACAGAGATCCGCCTGGCTCTGCCTCCCGAGTGCTGGGATTAAAGGCGTGCGCCACCACCGCCCGGCTATTTGGCTTTTTTGATACCTAGGTTTTGAGTTCTTCATATATTTTAGATATTTAGTCCCCTATTTATATGAAGTCAATAAAAAATTTTCCCATTCTGTAGGTTGCCAATTTGTCTAATTGACAGTGTCCTTTTCCATATAGTATTTTGGTTTCTGTAAGCTGGAACACGCACCCCTCATAGTAGCATGATGCATTAACCAGTGCTTAGAGCACCCCACTGCTTTCCTAACCCAAACTTCCAAAGTCTCATTTGCTCCCAACAAAAGCATGGTCAGGCCTGTCACAGTAATGCCCCTGTTACTGGTTCCAACTTCTGTCTTAGGATTTCTATTGCTGTGAAGAGACAACATGACCATTGCAGACAAATTTCTATATGGTCTTATTAAATAAAAACATGGGGCCAAATATAGGGGTGAAAAGATCAGGGAAATAGGAATAGTCACCAGCTAACCTTACCTCACCAGCTCTGCAGCTTCCAAATGCCAAGACTTCCTGTCTACACAGGCTTTTATTGCCTTGCTGTTCTACCCTCTCATTGGCTATCTTAGCCCAGCTACCTCACTTCCTTGTCACTCTCTGTCTGTACAGACCTACAGGTCTCTGTGGTTGGTACTGGGATTAAAGGTGTGTGTCACCACACTTGCCTCTGTTCCCTAGTGTGGCCTTGAACAAACAGAGACCTTGCCTGCTAAGTGGTCACATTAAGGGCATATGCTACCACTGTCTGACTTTTGTGTTTATTTAAAATGGCTTCCTATTTCCTCTGATCTCCAGGACAACTTTATTTACTAACAGACAAATAAAATATCACCACATTTCAGCACAAAAAAAATATCACCACATTTCCCCCTTTTATGTCTAATAAAATTTAAAAAATAAAAAATTATAACTAATATAAGAAAAACTATATACAATAAGTACAATAACTATAAACAATATATACAAGGAATAAATACATCAACAATGTCTAGTCCATTTGCATTGACAAATTCAGAGAAAATATTCCATTGTCTATCCTATTTTGGTGAGTCCAAAATGTACCTAATTCACTTTCTGTGCTCTCTTGTATTATCAACAGAAAATTATCTTATGATGTCTTTCAAACTAATACACTTAACACCTCTTATTGAAAGCTGCCATTTCAGTCCTAGTAATGCTGCAGTTTAAAGCAATAGATTCACAATAAGGCAGATTCAGATGGAACAAGACTTTAAATGGTTTACAGTGTGTGTAAAAATGTACATAGGCTTGGAAGAGAGAAGAAAATGAATATAGACAGTTATATAAAGAAATAGTTTTTTAAAAAATAGTCTTTAAAGAGATAGTAAAGGTATTATAAAAAATAAGCCATGTAGAGATGGATATTATACAGAGAATCTGGATTGTGTTGTCTTTGATGTTTTTAACTGCAGAAAGACATTTGTAAATGTTGCTAAATTGAGCATATATATATATATATATATATATATATACATATACATGTATGTATATATATAGTATCTTGACTTCAAAATTTGGATCTAAGGATATGTTGCTTTGGAAAGGAGACTCTGCTTTTGTGTCCACAGGAAGCAAGAGGCTATGGATTTGTTTCAGATTAAGATACATCAGGTTTGACCAGCTAAGACCCCCTGAAAGGTCTCCAATGACACCATGGCTCAGATCATCCAATATCCAAAATCAAATTCAAAATATCTGGTTCAGAGAATACAGCATCACAGACTACTCCAGTCAGGACTTGACCATAATCCTAAAATTTTTTTTTCTGTACCCAAAGATGATCAGTGCCCTCTATCAGCAGAAAGTAGCCTAGAAAACTACACCCACATACCACCCCCCCAAAAAAATGGATTATGGACATTTGTCTGTTTAGGTTGTTGGTTACAAATTGTTATTGGTCATAGTCAATTTCTTTCTAAAAGACAAAAAGAGGATATGATATAACCAGGCAGTGGTGGCACACACCTTTAATCCCAGCACTTGGAGGCAGAGCTAGGGAGATTTCTGTGAGTTCAAGGCCAGCCTGGTCTACAGAGTGAGATCCAAGACAGGCACCAAAACTACACAGAGAAACCCTGTCTGGAGAGAAAAAGAAAGAAAGAAATATAGGATATAGATATGATGGGATGAAAGGGAAGATTATTGAATCTACTTTTAAAGAGCAACAACTTGTTTGAAATGTTTTACATTGCTATGGATTTTATTATTGATACAAATTTAAAGTTAAATTTGTTATATTGTATGTATATTTCTACTCTTGCTTAAAGTATTTTGTTTATGTAACTCATTTGAAATTACAGTGTATAGTTGAGAAATGCAGATTAATAATTAGTCTTCCATTCCATGATAGTCAAACTTATAGTCATGTTAAGTTTTCTAGGTTACATAGGTATAATTCAATTATATAGGTAATCTTCAAACACTTCAAAGACCTACAGAATATGGCATTTAAGATGTTTTAAAAACTTAGACTTTTCTGGACATTAGGATATGCCTGCTCCTGGCATCACCAATTTACTTCAAAGAGAAAGATGGACATCAAAGACACTCTATATGGAGTTTATCTTCTTGACAAAAATAACCATTTGAGCAAGAAACTGTTCTTCTGGACTGCTTGACAAAATGTTGTATAAACTGGACATGCAGGGCCCTTAGGAAGATGACCACTGAACATTGCAAGGTAAAATGGTCCTTCAGGTTCCTGCTTCACAGAAGAAACTGTCAGACATTCTACAGGACACATAGAGAATTGACTGAGAGACTCTAGGCCTATGGGCTGAAAATGGATGTCCCAATATTGTAGAAGAACTTTAGGTGACTGTCCAGGCAGCCAGCTGTCTCTGTTATTCTAGATTTTTGGAAGTTGCTTATAATGCACTTCCTGCTTACTTTGGTAATATTATATTCTTCTGGAGTCTTTGATGTAGTTGAAGACTAGATAGTTATAATTTTCCTTGGTTATGATAAAAGATAAATTAGATATGAAACTTTAAACTCACAAATATAGGATAGATAAAATATTTTCTTTAATCTTACAAAATATAGATTAGATATTATAACTGTAATTCTTGATTGATATATACAATTTTACTATGTTAAAGTTAAAACCTTCCTTTTGTTTAGAAAGAAAAGAGTAAGTGATGGGGGAATGTCTTTTTGCATGCTGTGAAAATGTGTTGCTCTGATTGGTTGATAAATAAAATACTGACTGGCCAGTAGCCAGGCAGGAAGTATAGGCAGGATGAGCAGACAAGGAGAATTCTGGGAAGAGGAACGCTGAGTCAGGAGATGCTAGTCTGCCATCCAGGGAGCAGCATATAATGGCACACAGATAAAGCCATGGAACACATGGTGACATAGAGATTAACCAAATGGGCTGAGTTTAAGTGCAAGAGCTAGTCAGTAGTGAGCCTGAGCTAATGGCCAAGCAGTTTTAGTTAATATAAGCTTTTGTTACTTGGGTCTGAGCAGCTGTGGACCAGGTGAGACACAGGAAAACTTCCAGCTACAAACCATGGAAATGCTTATAAAAAAAATATTTAATTAGGGGTGGCTTATAGTTTCAGAGGTTTAGTCTATTATCATCATCATGGCAGGACATGGAGGAGTGCAGGCAGACATCGTGATGAGGAAGGAGCTGAAAGTTAATACATCTTGATCTGTAGTCAAAAAGAAGTGATAAGTGTAGCTTGACTATTGGAGACCTGAAAACATATCCCCTCAGCGACACACTTCCTCCAACAAGGCCATACCTATTCCAACAAAGACACCTAATAGTGCCACTCCCTGTGTGCTTTATGGGGGCCAATTACATTCAATCCACCATACATGACATAACAATTTACACTAAGACTAAGAAAATCCCCTCATATTAAGGTTGGATGGGGCAACCCAGTAAGAGTAAAAGGGTCCCAAAGGCAGGCAAAGAGTCAGTGAAGTAACCAGGAGCCAGAGACTGGATAGCCCAGAGACCTTGGATAGAACCAAATATGACTGACCAAAAAAAAAAAAAAAGTCAATGAAATGATTCCTAATTATATTGTGTTATACTAATAGACCAGAGCCCAGAGTAATCTTCATCATAGAAGCTTCATCCAGCAACTGATGGGAGCAGATGCAGAAACCCACATCCAAATATTAGGGGAAGCACAGAGAATCCTGCAGAAGAGAGGAAGGAAGGATGGTAGGAACCAGAGGGGTCAAGGGCACCAGAAGAACACAGTCCACAGAATCAACTAATCAATTTTTATTATAAAAGACTTTCACTTTCTTGGTTAGGTTTGTTTTGAGGAATTGTCAATAAAGGGGACAGAGACAGATTCACCTGTACCCGTATGAGAATGAAGACTAACTAAGAGCTGGATTGTGGTCATAATGATATCTGAAACCATGCCTCTCTTTGGTACCCTTTAACGAGAAACCTCAGTGAGCTAACTTGATTTATTAATGCTCTATGAAAAGTATAATTCTCAAATTTGTTGAAGAAGAACACTTAGGATGGAAAGAATATACATTAGTAAACCATGTACCAAATGTATAGAAAAATCTTGAAATTATTATCTTATAAAACAAAGTAAAATGAATAAGGAAGCTATAGAAAATTTGTGTGTTTTTGTCAGTGGCATTTGCTGAAATTCTTTTAAAATATTACATGAGGTTCCCTGAAGTAGAATCATCCTTCCTGCAAAAATTCATACTATTCTGATATTAAAAGTACTAATTATTTATAAATAAGAATATAAAGAAGAAAAAGTTAATGTAACATTACATAAAAACTTATTAATGTAATCAACAATATAGTACTTCAATATGAAAGTACAAAAATAGTTCAATATGATGTAATAACATTAGATTTTTCAGTCCCAATTCAAATTATAAATAGTTATTGAATATTAATAAATATTCCTGGCCCACGTCTCTGGTGAGCTGTAAGGAATAACTTGATTTCATGAGGAAAGACCATCTCATATACCTCAGCTCTCTGAATTCTATTTGTCTCCTTCTCCGGGACAATCTCTGGACATAGTTATTTTAATTAATAGAAAGTAATTCACTGATCGAGTTTTTGTCTATGATATGAGTGTTTTTCTGTCTTTTTTTTTATTGCAGTGAAACCTTGTGATTATCCACAAATCAAAAATGGTGGTCTAGTTTCTGCTGCAATCCACAAACATTCTTTCCCAGCACAGTTAGGAAAGAGATCCATCATTTACTGCAATAGAGGATTTGGGCCTTTTCCCATGAATGTCATTTACTGCACTCAACAAGGATGGGAGCCTAAAGTTCCATGCCGCAGTAAGTCAACATCTATATTAAATCATGTTTAACTCTATCAAAGAGTGGAGAACAAAAGAGCACATACATGATTACATTTAAGTATCATGTCAAAAATAAGACCAACAGAAGAATTTGTGAGAAAAAAAAGACCAGTTCCTGTCCCTTGTGAGCAGCTCTTCATGAAATGAACATGAAAAATAGGGACTATGAGAAAGTCTTTATTGCTTGTATGTTTTATTTATAAAAACAAAAGATAAGTGGTACTCTTTTAAACATTGAGTATTAGATTTATTTTTAATGTCATTTAACTATTGTAAAGATAAGTTTTAATTTAGTTTTTTTTTAATAAAAGAAGGTCTTATGTTTTAATGTATCATCTTATGGTTCTTAGGACAATGTGTTTTCCATGAAGTGGAGAATGGGGAATCTTCAGCTTTGCAAGCAAGAAAGTTACAGGGCATGTCTGTAAAAGTTAAGTGTTCTGTATCCAGAGGGCCTAGTCCAGTCTCTGGATACGGAAAACGGATATTTGGCTCAAACTGTTTTGGGGGCACCAAGGCAGGGGGATCGGGATCTGTCCCTGGTCTATGGGCAGGCTTCTGGAATCTGGTGCCTGTGGTGTGACACCTTGCACAGCCTTGGTGCAGTGGGAAGGGGTTCGGACCTGCCTAGGCTCAGTGTGCTGGGCTCTGCTAACTCCCCATGGGAGACCTTGATTTGGGGGTTGCAGGGTGGCTTAGGAAAGAGGGCTGGAGGGTGGGAGGAGGGAGGAGGGGGGTTTGTGGATAGTATGTGGAGTGAGTAGAAAATTTCTTAATAAAGAAAATCATCTAAAAAAAAAAAAAAAAAGGTAAGTGTTATTCTGGCTACAGTCTTCCAAATGGGTCAAGACACGTTACATGTACAGAGAATGGCTGCTCTCCTCAACCCAAATGCATCCCTGTCAGTAAGTAACCAGCACTAAGATCACAAGATGATCTTGACTCCCCATCCCATGTGTACTGACTATAGCTAAATGCTTCTTTTCAAGTGTACATAAGTGAATACTGAGGATTTTTTGTAAGTATATAGCAAAGTAAACACACATAGTAGATATTGGGCCATACTACAACAAAATATTTAGCACATTTCATTTAATTCATAACAGTATATATTTTGAAACCATTTTGTCATTTGATTCATATCAATTAAAAATTTTTAGCTTAAAATTGAAAAAATATAAAAGCTATGCATATAATTCATATATTCAAGAAGTAATACAACATTTTACAGAAATGCCAATTATCTCTGAGTTCTTTATGATGTATAATTGGAAAGGGAATTCTGGGCCATTGTGCATTTTCTAGTTTTCATGTTTTTCTCCAGTTTCTGTACCAATATACATTTGTTTCAATGCCTTCTTCTTGTTCTATGTCCTTGCTAATGACTGTGTGATGTTACACTTCATTATTATTTTTCAAAATAACTGTCTGTAAACATTACAGCAGAGTAATGCTGCTATGTATTTCTTTTATTAGCATTTGAGATTTTAAAATACAAACCTAAGAAAAATAGAAATTTTTCATTTATTTATCAAAATCAGTTTTTTCTATGACATTTTTCCTGAAAAGTTGAGTTCAAAAAATTAATCTCTTTGAAATATATATATATATATATATATATATATATATATATATAGAGTGTGTGTGTGTGTGTGTGTGTGTGTGTGTGTGTGTTTCAAATTTGTTTCTTACTTTGGACCACAGCTTCTTAAATTAACCTTGGTTTTATATATTTTGACATTATCATGAATTTTTGGAACAATTTTGAAAAAACCACATAATATTAATCTTCCTATTTATGAATGTGATTCATCATTAAAAGTTTAATCTGTTTTTTAATGTTTGGCAATTGACTTCTATTGTACCATTTTGCTGATGAGGAACTTTTGTTAGTATTGTTCTTCGATACATTTCCATTGTTTAATTAATCTCTAAGCATTTTCTGTCCTCAATGATTTAAACTTTTATAGGATAAATATTAGTGACCTACTTAAAATTTATACTGAATTTTTATTTGACAGTCTTTCCTTCATGCTAGGTTTACTTACATTATTAATTTTACAAATTCTTTCTATGGTCTTAGTTGGGCTGGTTTCTATGGACATACTGCTTTTGTGTATTTCTGTGACTTTTTAAGATGTTATTTTATTCTTATCACCATAGATTACTTTAGAATTCTTTTTCTTTACATAAATATATGGTAATTTAGCTAGGTACCATTTTCAGAAACACATTGGTTATTTTTAATTGTGGAAAATTTTGAGGTATTTATGAAAATTTGAAGATAAACTATTAGTTTAAAATTTATAAAATATTTTTTAGATTAATATCTACAGCTGAAATGAGTGCTATGACATGTGCATGATTTAGTGTGTAAGAAACTGGCATGTACATTTTCAGGATGATTGGGACATTTTATATCAATAGCAGCAATGAGCAAGGCTTCCAGTTGACTTGTTTTCCTCTAAAAATGATGAGGGTCATGATTTAGATTCTAAATGCATTAGCAAAGGAAGTATATCACTATACTTTTAATTTTATATTCATAGTTGACTAATAATAGCAATCACCTAAAATGCCTATTATAATTAAATATTTTCTTTTTAAATTTATTTTATAATTCTTTACATATCTAGGATACGATTCCTTTATCAAATTTGTGAATATTTTATGGCATGGCATGGCTCATCTTATGAGTTTATAATATTATTTCCAGTCAGTGTATTTTAACACTCAATGAAGCCCAAGAAATATTTGTGAATTATTTCTGTTTATATGTGACACTTAAAATAATTTTAATTTTTTTCAGAATTTTCTTTTTCTATTATTTATTTGAAAATTTTATACCACGTGTTTTGGTCATATTTGCATAATCCAACTATTCCTGGGTATATACCACTTCTACTACCAACCCAAATTTTTGTACTCTTTACCTTTCATCTTAAACCAACGCAAGAAGCCAAATTTGTACTATTTTCATTTTGTTTGATGTGTGGTATTGTACTGGAGAATGGCTGATTTGCCAGCCCTCTCTGTGATAGAACTGGTCTAGTTTGCATTTGTGCAGGCCTTGTGCATGCTCTCACAACCACTCAGAATTCATAGATGCATCCCACCACATATTTCTCTCTCTTCCCAGCCATGTCACTTCCTGCCTCCATCTTTCTAGTGCTGGGATTAAAGGAATGTGTCTTCCAAGTACTGGGATCAAAGGCATGAGAATCTGAGTGCTGAAATTAAAGGTGTGAGCCTCCACTGCCTGGCTCTATTTCTCTTTTAGACTGGATCAATCTCATGCAGCCAAGGGTGGCCTTAAACTCCCGATCTTCCTATTTTCTCATCCCAAGTGCTAGAATTAAAGGTGTGAGGCATCACTGCCTGGCCTCTATAATTAACTAGTGGCTGGCTTTGCCCTCTGATCTTCAGGCAAGCTATTTGTTAGAGTACAAACAAAATATTACCCCATTTCTCTTTTTTTGTCTAAAACAAAACAGAAGGTTATAACTAATATAAGAAAAACTATAAACAATAAGTACAGTGAGTATATACTATATATGCAGGCAATAATTACATCAACAATGTCTACTCCATTAACATTTGACAAATTCAGAGAAAATATTCCATTATATATCTTATTTTGGTGAGTCCAAAGACTTGTTCATATTCTATCCTAATTTGCATTGTCAAAATTATCTTTTAATGTCTCTCAACCCTATATACCTTATACATCTTGGTGAGTTTTTTTTTCTGTATCGGTAACTAAACTATCTAGTCTTCAACTCTCTCAGAGACCTGAGAAAGAAATATTACCTATGTAAACAGAAGTGCAAGCAAGCAACTTCCAAAAAATGTGAGAAATGACAGAAACAGCTGGCTGCCTAGAAAGTCACCCAGGGTTCCTCTGTAACATTAGGGCATCCATCTTCAGCCTACAAGCCTACCATAACTGACAGACTTATTTTTGAAGCAGTTTTTTGAAGGACTGTCCCACCTTGTCTTGGCAAAGTTCGGCAGTCACTTTCTTTTTTGTCCTGTTTGTCCATTTTGGATAGTAACTGTCAGCAATCAAGGCAATGGCACTTTCTTGCTCAGTAACTAACTTTTGCCACAAAGAAAGTAAGCTCCATATGGAGTTTCTTTGATGCTCATCATCTTCCAAAGTAGATTGATACTGCCAGGAGCAAACATTTCTAATAATCATAAAAAAAGAACCAATGTTATTACAACATCTTAAATGTCTATTCTGTAGATCTCTGAAGTGTTTGAAGACAACCAGTCTATTGAAAATATATGTTTGACCTTGAAAACATACCTAATATGATGACAAGTTTAATTGTAATGACTAACTACAAACCTTCATTTCTTTATTCTTCTAAAAGTTTGTAATAATAACTTTCAAGGACTAGCAATTTGCATTATATTGTTAAATGAGATGTATAGGTACAATAACGAAAAAGATTAGAAATGTATGTACAATATGTTTTAAAAAAATTACAACTTAGTATCACTATACAAAGATCCTTATCAATTTAAAATATTTAAAACAAGTAGATACTTTCTAAAAGTAGATTCAATAATCTACCTTTTTATCTTATCATATATATATATGTGTGTGTGTATATATAAATATATATATATATATATATATATATGTATCCTTTTTTCTTTTCAGGGTAGATTAAATAATCTACATTTTTATATTATCATTTCTATATCATTTTTCTAGAGTAGATTCAAAACTCTAACGTTTTATTCTATCATATCTGTATCTTTTTTTAGAGTAAATTCAATAACCTATCCTTTTATCCTATCATATCTGTATCTCCCCTTTTTCTTTTCAAAACAAGAACCCTGATTCTAATCTCCTTTGTTTATCTTTTTTCTTGACCATTACCAATAACAACTTGTAACCAATCACCCTTAACATTGACAAATATCCATAACCCATTGAAAGGTCAGAAACCACCCACCCCAGCT